GTGAAGCTGGGTGCTGGTGTTGAGATGGAGATCTCTGGGAGATTTTTGCTGTTTGATATTACGTGGAGCTGGGAGGTCTCTTGTGGACCAAAGTCCTGAACTTGGCTCTCCCACCTCAGAGGCACAGCCCTGATGCCTGGCTGGAGCACCAAGAGCCTTTCATCCACATGGCTCAGAATAAAAGGGAGAAAGAGAAGAAAGAAAGAAAGAAAGAGAGAGAGAGACAGAGAGAGAGAGAGAGAGAGAGAGAGAGAGCAGGAGGGAGGGAGGGAGGGAGGCAGGGAGGAAGGAAGGGAGGAAAGGAAGGACAGAAGGAAGAGAAAGAAAGCAATAAAATAAAATAGTTATTAAAATAAACATTTAAAAATATTAAAAATAAAAAAAAGAAAGAAGAGAGCAACCAAACCACAAAACAAATCCACCAATGATAACAAGTACTAAAAACTATACTAAAAAAAGAAAAAAAAAAAAGAAAGACAGAACCCTAGGACAAATGGTAAAAGGAAAGCTATGTAGACAAAATCACACACAGAAGCATACACATACACACTCAGAAAAAGGGAAAAAATATATCTTTGCTCCCAAAGTCCACCTCCTCAATTTGGGATGATTCGTTGTCTATTCAGGTATTCCACAGATGCAGGTACATCAAGTTGATTGTGGAGATTTAATCCGCTGCTCCTGAGGCTGCTGGGAGAGATTTCCCTTCTCTTCTTTGTTCTCACAGCTCCCAGGGGCTCAGCTTTGGATTTGGCCCCACCTCTGCGTGTAGGTCGCTGAGGGCGTCTGTTCTTCGCTCAGACAGGACGGGGTTAAAGGAGCCGCTGATTCGGGGGCTCTGGCTCACTCAGGCCGGGGGGAGGGAGGGGTACAGATGCGGGGCGAGCCTGTGGCGGCAGAGGCCGGTGTGACGTTGCACCAGCCTGGGGCGCGCCGTGCGTTCTCCCGGGGAAGTTGTCCCTGGATCCCTGGACCCTGGCAGTGGCGGGCTGCACAGGCCCCCCAGAAGGGGGTGTGGAGAGTGACCTGTGCTCGCACACAGGCTTCTTGGTGGCGGCAGCAGCAGCCTTAGCGTCTCATGCCCGTCTCTGGGGTCCGCGCTTTTAGCCGCGGCTCGCGTCCGTCTCTGGAGCTCGTTTAGGTGGCGCTCTGAATCCCCTCTCCTCGTGCACCCCAAAACAATGATCTCTTGTCTCTTCGGCAGGTCCAGACTTCTCCCCGGACTCCCTCCCGGCCAGCCGTGGCGCACTAACCCCCTGAAGGCTGTGTTCACGCCGCCAACACCAGTCCTCTCCCTGCACTCCAACCGAAGCCCAAGCCTCAGCTCCCAGTCCCACCCGCCCCGGCAGGTGAGCAGACAAGCCTCTCGGCCTGGTGAGTGCTGGTCGGCACCGATCCCCTGGGCGGGAATCTCTCTGCTTTGCCCCCCGCACCCCTGTTGTTGTGCTCTCCTCCGGGTCTCCGAAACTCCCCGCCTCTGCCACCTGCAGTCTCCGCCCGCGAAGGGGCTCCTAGTGGGTGGAAACCTTTCCTCCTTCACGGCTCCCTCCCACTGGTGCAGGTCCCGTCCCTATTCTTTTGTCTCTGTTTATTCTTTTTTCTTTTGCCCTACCCAGGTACGTGGGGGGTTTCTTGCCTTTTGGGAGGTCTGCGGTCTTCTGCCAGCGTTCAGTAGGTGTTCTGTAGGGGTTGTTCCACGTGTAGATGTATTTCTGATGTATTTGTGGGGAGGAAGGTGATCTCCGCGTCTTACTCTTCTGCCATCTTGAATCCCCTTCCTTTGCCCATTTTAAAATCAGGTTGTTTTTTTGCTATTGAGTTGAAGGAGTTCCTGACATATTTTGGGAATTAACCCCATATCAGATACGTGGTTTGCCAATATTTTCTCCCATTCCATAGGTTGTCTTTTCACTTGGTTGGTTGTTTCAGTAGATGTGTAGATTTTTAGTTAGATGCAGTGACCCTTGTCTGTTTTTGCTTTTGTGCCTGCGCCTTTAGTGTCATATCCAAGAAATCACTGCTGAGACCAATGTCAAGAAGTTTTTCTCCATGTTTCCTTCTAGTTTTATGGTTTCAGATCTTACATTTAAGTCTCTAATCCATTTTGAGTTAATTTTTATGTATGGTATAAAATATGACTACAAAATTTAAAAGCCTTAACCAGGGGCTTCCCTGGTGGCGCGGTGGTTGAGAGTCCGCCTGCCGATGCAGGGGACACGGGTTCGTGTCCCGGTCCGGGAGGATCCCACGTGCTGTGGAGCGGCTGGGCCCGTGGGCCATGGCCGCTGGGCCTGTGCGTCCGGAGCCTGTGCTCCGCGATGGGAGAGGCCGCGGCAGTGGGAGGTCCGTGTACCGCCAAAAAAAAAAAAAAAAAAAAAAGCCTTAACCAAGAAAGTATTGGACTAAGAACATTCAGCAAGATGACTGGATATGAGACAAATTTATGCAAAAAATTCTTTCATATTTACAGTATTGTTAGGAAATGAAAGGCCCCACCTAGCCTTGGGGGTGGCCTGGCCCAGTTTCACCCCCTCATCAGCCAGCACCGGCAATCGCCCCACCACTGGCTGCACTTACGCCCCCATCCGGAGCCTGTCCCTCCTCCCCCGAGGGTTTGCTGCCTGGATCACCCTGGCCCTTCACTCTGCTCGGGCTGTTTCACTGTTCACGGTGACTGTACCGTCTTGTCCCCGCGGTGCCTGACTAGCCGACGCCATCACCTCCATCAGAACTGCCCCCGCCCCCGCCCCCCCTCCGCAGCTTAAATCCCAGCCACTCCAACCGCTGCTTTGTCCAGATGGCTCAGCTGAACTGTAACGCGGTTCAGCCCAAAGTCAACTGGGCCCTCCTGCCCAGGATCACCTATGGCTGCATCCACAGGTTGGGATGCCAGTGTCTCTTGGAAACCACCTGCCCAAGCTGGGGGCTCACAACTCACCAGAAACGGGCGCCATCAGGGGACCCACCCCTTCTCACGTGCTCACCTGGGCCTCCAGCCTTCCCTCCTGTATCTTCCATCTTCAAACTCTCTCTTGATGTCACGTCCGCTTCTCCCTACAGCCTACTTCCTGGCTCCTCTTTTCAGGAAAACTCTTCAGAAAGGTTTCTACGTTTCTGTCTCCAATTAGTCTTCCTCCATTCTCTGTTGCTCTCAGTTTAAAAAATTCAATCTACAGAAAGGCCTAAAGAGCAATTCAAAGAACCCTGTCTAGATCCCAGCATTTATCCCTCAGTTGCTGAGGTCTCATCGGCCCAAACGCTAACGGCACAGTTGATCCAGCAGTTCTCAAACTGGGATGAGCAGACTCCCGGGGACCCTGGGACCATTTCAGGGACCCAAAAGGTCACAGCTATGTTATCAAGATGTGAGTTGCTTTCTCCTGTGTTGTCATTTGCACTGTGGCTCAGAAGCAACGGTGAAGCCTCAGCAACGACTGTCCTATCGCTATGTTCTTCACTGCTGTGCAGTTAAAAAAGGCCAATTTCACTTAAAAATGTCCTTGATGAAGCAAAAAATACATATTACATCTCAACCACTGAGTACATGTCCTGTGATGAAATGGAAAGCACGTAGAACAAAGTACAGTATTGCCTCCAGGGAAAGCACTTGCCTGGGTGGTTGTGTTACAACATAACCAGTTGCTTTCTTTCTAGAAACATCATTTTTATTTGAAAAATAATTGACAATGGTTATTAAGACTTTATATGACTTTTTATGTTTGGCAGATGTGATTTAAAAAAAGATTAACCAAGTGAGCCTGCCACTTCAAGGAAAACAAATGACAGTATATGTGGCGAATGAAGTCAGCTTCGGATTTTTATAGTTAGTGATATTAATGAGTTTTTCTAAATAGTAAATGAAATGTTTCAACATCTGGAAGATCTTCAGACCTCAGTTAAAGAATATTTTCCGGAATTCCCTGGCGGTCCAGTGGTTAGGACTCCGTGCTTCCACTGCAAGGGGCACGGGTTCGATCCCTGGTCGGGGAACTAAGATCCCACTAGCTGTGCAGTGTAGCCAAAAAAAAAAAAAAAAGGAAGATTAAAAAAAAAGAATATTTTCCAAATAGCTAAGGCATGATGTTATAAAATCATGCATGGATTAGCCGTCCATTCAAAGTACAAGATAAACAGATTTAATGTAACTGAGTACAAGAAATTCATCCATATGGTTTCTGATTCAACATTGAACCTTTATGAAACCATTGCTGTAGAAACCACCTCTGTAGAGTTTTGATTTTGTATCCAATACCCATTATCAACTGCAAAGGCTATTAAAATACCTCTCCTTTCTCAATTACTACATACTTCCACATATTTATAGAGACCTTTCTCTCACAAGTTTGTTTTATAGTTTCCAGTGTAGAGGTCTAGAACACCTTTTAAGACATACTCCTAGGTATTTTATGGTTTCGATGTTACTGTAAGTGGACTTATTTATTTCACTTTCCAGCTGCTTGCCACTAGTATTTAATACAAGCACCTAAAAGGCTCTTCAGACCAAATGTTAAGAACCAGTGAACTACCGTGAGAGTTCAGCATGAACTGAATTTTGGTGAGTTGAGCAGAGCAAAATTTGAGCCTATTCTTGGTCAATGTGAAAATGATGTCCGCAAGTTTTTAAAGTATTAGAACATTTGTTTTCTTCTTAAAGTCCTAATTTAAAAAATTCTTCCCCAATTATATATGAAGTAGACAGAATAACGAACCTTCATGTACTCAATGTTGATATCAGCTCAGCCCAGAACTTGTTTGAGTTTCGTCCCGTTCACTCTCCAGTCCTACATTATTCTGAAGCAAATTCCAGGCAAGACAGAATTCCAGCGTAACAATCTTCTTATTTCTAAGCACTTTATGTCAGTGACTTTGAACCACAATGTATCACGCACCCACTGAAGTACAGAGGTTGCTGAAATATAGATTCTATGCAATATTCTTATCCCCAAGAAGCAGTCATATTCTCCCCAATTCCAGGGCTAACCAAATGATCTGATCTTTAGCGTATTTTAAGAGATTCATTTAATGTTTTCCAGCAAATATTAGTTCACCATGAAGCCTTTGAGATACCTTCAAATACAGTCCACGCAGGGAATGAGGGAACGGCATTAGGTTTCCTCTGTCTTGAAACTCAGCCACTTGGGTGGCTTCATGATCAGTCCCTTAAAAAGGTTTCCGAGGTCACCTGCATCCGGGCGTGATGACTGACCCTGCACGGGAGAAGGCGGGGGTGACATGGCGGATGTTCTGACTTCTGCTCTCAGCACAGAGTAATTTTTGTGACAATTCCAAAGGCTCGTAGGCTCGTGCTCCTTCACTTGGTCTAGCAGGTTTTTCCATCACGTACAAAGATAAACGTTTTAAATAACATACTAGGCATGCCAGAATGGCTGTTCTGTTGCCGTTATTAACTCTAATTTATATACTTAAAAGGCTTACATTTATTACTACGTGCCGGCCCAAAGAAGTTTAGGAAACTATGGTTGTGGTCTTTTATGAAAATAAGCATGCAGGGACAATACTGTTAGCTGACCGCAATTTACACCTCCCCCTACCCCCAAGAGAGATCCAGGGAGAGTGTTCATAAAATTAGAGCATGTGAACGAACCAAAAGCCGTGAAAAGGACTACATGGGAGGATCAGGAAGAGTAGATGGAATCTTACGAGCAAAATGAAAGGCAGCAGTAGAAGTCGACCCCTCCAGTTCCTCCCACGGACCACCCTCACGCAGGGAAGCATACCCAGAGACACATCGGGCGTGAGCGTTTGTTTATTCCATGTGTAAAGGACAATTTAAAAACAAAATGTTAGTAACACTCTGAGAACATTGGTTTTGTTCATCTGACACATCCTCTATCTTCACCAATTTTTATTACAAAAATCAGAAAAGTAAAAATTCATGACAATATTTGCACAGTGTAACCACTAGTTGCCTAAACAAAAGCTAATTTCTATAAAACCATAAACTTAATGCAGCTTAAGAGAGAGTCAAACCCCTCAGTGAACTGGATATACATGGTGGTATATATTTTAAAGCAGAAAACCCCAAAGAACAAAAACAAGGAAAAAAGAAAATATATGTCAAAAGAGTCAGTTAAATATTTTGACCTGACAGTCCCCTACAAAGAGTAACTTCCACTACATATAGGGGAAACCATTATCTGTGGCGAAAATCCTAGAGTCCAAGTAGGAAATGTGGAATAAAAACACATCAAATCAGAAGCCAGTCGCAGGCTGCAGGTGCTTTCAGTGAAATCCAGGGCAGTGAGCGACACCATTAAAGAAGGGACCACTCATGTCCCCAAACCAATACGTGTGCCTACAAGTAAGACCTTCACCACACGGCACGTAGCAAAGTTATCAATGAAAAGACTTTGGAAAAGACTTTGAAATAGACAAACGTTCTTTTCTTCATACAAATCACTGCAAGAAATCTTTGTAAGGCTGTACCTTGCAAAAGACAAACGTTCTTTTCTTCATACAAATCACTGCAAGAAATCTTTGTAAGGCTGTACCTTGCATAGGGAAAGAGTTGTCTTCTGTCAAAAATTCTACTGGAAAGAGTAAAAGCAAGCTCTTCAAAATGATGCCCACGTGCAAAGGGGTAAATTACCAGGCACCTCATTCACTGTCTGCAATCTGTCCTGATCAGATACGATTTAATTTGACGGAAGGAAAAGTGGCAATTTACGGCGATGGTATTCAAAAGAAAATATTGAGATCGGCAGCAGAAAAATTAAATTTCAAAAGTGCACCCTGAGAGAGGCCCCCACTGTCCCACGGAGAGACACGTGTGCGCTAAATAAGCCTACCTGTGCTCATGCTAGGACTCGACGAGAACCTGCCGAGTAAGGAAAGAGTGCACTTTCTCAGAAAGCTGAAGTAAAAGAAAATAGTACAAGTTGTGGCATTCCTTCAGGTTGATGCTACACCAGCATTCGGAGTTGGTTAGCAGGAGGCCTCATGTGTCCAAGGGGGCGGCCTCGGCCCTAAGAGCCGTGGAACAGGTGCGTGGTGCCCAGGACGGCGCTGTCGTGCCCCTCCTCCAGCTTCACGGAGTTGGAGGGCTCTATCACACTGCTCAGCTCAGGGATGCTTTCGGCAGTGTCTCCGAACCCGTGGTAGTGTCCGTAGTGCAGGTTCTCCCCGATATCTTCCACCCAGGAAGGCCTGCTGGCTATGCAGCTACTTGGACTCCCGTTCAGGTGCAGAGAGCCGCACATCTCGGGGTTAACGCTCGTGCCCTTTTCTGGCTCTTCAGTCCCATTAACACAGGGAGAACCCTGGCTACTCGGAAACGGCGGTCCTGGAACTAGTCCACCGCCAATTCCATTAGGTCCTGTCAAGCACTGGTCACTCCTGCTCTCCATCCCACTGAGCTGTGTCGTGGAGGGGAAGTCCAAATGTCCATTGATGAGACATCCATTTGTCAGTGTATTCGATACGGAGCTACTGTTTTTCGTATCTGCATTAAGAAATACACCTGTCACCAAAATTCAGAACCAGAGGGGAGGAGACAGTATAAAATGCTTCATTCCTGCTACTGTTTTAAAGGATTTATTTAGTTTCCTTTCTTTAAACAAACCAGTTCCTCTTGCAAGGCAAAAAACGGTGCATACGTGATTTAAAAGTAAAACACAACAGAAGCGTTTGCCTGGTAAGATAGGAAACATTTATAGATTTCGTTAGTGTTGGGGAACCAAATGAAAGAACTTCAGCTGACAAACATACTGCATGAAAAACACCGACGGCACTGAACTGCTCTCAGTTAAAGACTACTTTGGAGAGCAGTTTGAAAAATCGTCACGTCACGTGTGAAAAAGTCCATCAGAGCTGAACGTGTTCCCACAAAGGGTTAAAATAAACCAAAAACGTCTCCAGCTTTTAAGAAATTAAAAAAAAAAGAAAAAGAAAGAAAAGCAGTTGATGAAGCATGTGAATTAAGGAGGCTCCCGGGACAAAGTCTGACAGCGTCACAGGAGGCTCCTCAGAGCGCTTCCTCCAAGCCAGGGACGCGCACACAGGAATAGGAACAGGGAGCGCTTTCCTCAGCGACACTCGAATCCCACAGCACTTCTGCAAAATGCCACATAGCACTGTGAGACTGCAGGAAGAACCATGAACCCTAATGATTCCATGCATACAGTCTTGGGCCAAGAGCACAGTTCTGAAGAGTTTCTTCTGAGTTCAGCAGTTACAGTGACTATGATCTCCAAGGTTCCACTTTCAGAAACCATAATCTACACATATAGACATCTGTTAAGAGGGAGATGTCTTACGGGAAAAAAATGTCAATCACAAAACGTTTGGACACATGGGAATAGGCAATTACAAGGTATTTTCTGTATAGTGAAACTCAAGGATTAATATTCATGTTCACAGGAATTCACAGAACAGTACAGAGAATGATCTAAAATTACGACTTGCTTAATGATGTTAAAATTTACCCCAGTGTTCTGCACTGTTCAAGTAAAGTGTGACATTAAATACAGAAGCACTGATCTAAAATTACGACTTGCTTAACGATGTTAAAATTTACCCCAGTGTTCTGCACTGTTCAAGTAAAGTGTGACATTAAATACAGAAGCACTGACTCTGTAACCTCTAGAATGAGGACACACAGGTGTGTGTCCCATGACCCTAACAGCCCGCACACTATGACCCCCGACTGGCACCCAGACATAGGTTTCTGTGTGTCCTGAAAATCTTTCTGATGACAAAAAAAAAAAAAATCACATCTTGTTCAATGAACAAAAACATCTTCTAAACATTCCATTAATCATCGATTTTCTGGCAGTTTAAGTGACACAGTTTAACAGCTGCTATAAATTCTTCAGCGGATTATGGATTATTTCTTTTCAAATTGAACGACAGATTTTCTATTTAGTTAAACTTAAGGCTGGAGAACAAGTGTTTGAAGAACTGAACATGAGGTAAAAATAAAACAAGTTATTCCCAGGGAAATGTTTATTTATTTTCCCCCCAAATAAACAGCTTTCCCTGGGTAGTAAAGCTCATGGGTAGGATGTTGACCTTGACAGTTAATAAGACAACTACACTAACAAAGATAGAAACTATATCTTTAGGTGACTCTGGGCCTCAGAAATCCGAGTTAGCTACACTGATGTTTTTTGTTTAATGTTCACTGCATGTGTATCATTCTTCTCCGGTGCCCAGCTAAAGTAAATTAGCCCCATGATGCATTCTCAAAATCAAGGCTAGTTGTAACCCCATGTCATTATGAAACATCTAGTAAAACTGAGCACGAGAGCAGCAAACCTCCCAGAGACTGGCTAAGACCTACGGCTGCTTGGTCAGACCCGCACCTGCCGACGGTCTGCAGGACCGCCCAGGGCCACCCGTACACTCTGTTCCAACGTGCCTTCCAGGACTCGCCTCTTGCACCCCATCCCCTCGCCCACCTACTGCAAGTGACCGCTAGCAATTCCATACCTTTTGTTTATTCAGTCAGAGAGTGTTATAAACGAAGTGATGAAAAACATGGGGAATGTTTACTTGGCACCTATCGTATGGGATGAGTTGAGTTTAAACATTGGCCTTTTCAACGTTAGGTTCAAGAGCGGCATTAAATTTAATCCGAAAACCGAGGGAATTAACGTTTGAAGATTAAAGAGTGATTACTTCTGCCTTTTTAAAAGCACGTAGCAATGACATTTTTTAAAAAGCTGGCTTTGAGTTCTGTTATTTATCTTTAGCCAAGATCTTTAAATGTATTATCCAATCAGAGTTTCCCTTGGAAAATCTACCCATTTCATTTAAGTATTTGGCAAAATGGTGACTCCGTCCGTAACAATTCTGTAGCTTCTAGAAAGATGTACACATTTTCTTTTCATCTTAGTGAACAAAAATGATTTTTTTCATGTACCTCTGGGAAACAATATATATAATCTTTTATCCCCAGTAAAGAATTTAGCATACAGATATAATAATAAAACTTTTTAAAAAACAGTATCTATTTCCAAATATATTAACACATTAAGAGAATGGCTAAAATGTTTTCATGGTTACCTAGATAAATTACGACTTGCTTAATGATGTTAAAATTTACCCCAGTGTTCTGCACTGTTCAAGTAAAGTGTGACATTAAATACAGAAGCACTGATCTAAAATTACGACTTGCTTAACGATGTTAAAATTTACCCCAGTGTTCTGCACTGTTCAAGTAAAGTGTGACATTAAATACAGAAGCACTGACTCTGTAACCTCTAGAATGAGGACACACAGGTGTGTGTCCCATGACCCTAACAGCCCGCACACTATGACCCCCGACTGGCACCCAGACATAGGTTTCTGTGTGTCCTGAAAATCTTTCTGATGACAAAAAAAAAAAAAAAATCACATCTTGTTCAATGAACAAAAACATCTTCTAAACATTCCATTAATCATCGATTTTCTGGCAGTTTAAGTGACACAGTTTAACAGCTGCTATAAATTCTTCAGCGGATTATGGATTATTTCTTTTCAAATTGAACGACAGATTTTCTATTTAGTTAAACTTAAGGCTGGAGAACAAGTGTTTGAAGAACTGAACATGAGGTAAAAATAAAACAAGTTATTCCCAGGGAAATGTTTATTTATTTTCCCCCCAAATAAACAGCTTTCCCTGGGTAGTAAAGCTCATGGGTAGGATGTTGACCTTGACAGTTAATAAGACAACTACACTAACAAAGATAGAAACTATATCTTTAGGTGACTCTGGGCCTCAGAAATCCGAGTTAGCTACACTGATGTTTTTTGTTTAATGTTCACTGCATGTGTATCATTCTTCTCCGGTGCCCAGCTAAAGTAAATTAGCCCCATGATGCATTCTCAAAATCAAGGCTAGTTGTAACCCCATGTCATTATGAAACATCTAGTAAAACTGAGCACGAGAGCAGCAAACCTCCCAGAGACTGGCTAAGACCTACGGCTGCTTGGTCAGACCCGCACCTGCCGACGGTCTGCAGGACCGCCCAGGGCCACCCGTACACTCTGTTCCAACGTGCCTTCCAGGACTCGCCTCTTGCACCCCATCCCCTCGCCCACCTACTGCAAGTGACCGCTAGCAATTCCATACCTTTTGTTTATTCAGTCAGAGAGTGTTATAAACGAAGTGATGAAAAACATGGGGAATGTTTACTTGGCACCTATCGTATGGGATGAGTTGAGTTTAAACATTGGCCTTTTCAACGTTAGGTTCAAGAGCGGCATTAAATTTAATCCGAAAACCGAGGGAATTAACGTTTGAAGATTAAAGAGTGATTACTTCTGCCTTTTTAAAAGCACGTAGCAATGACATTTTTTAAAAAGCTGGCTTTGAGTTCTGTTATTTATCTTTAGCCAAGATCTTTAAATGTATTATCCAATCAGAGTTTCCCTTGGAAAATCTACCCATTTCATTTAAGTATTTGGCAAAATGGTGACTCCATCCGTAACAATTCTGTAGCTTCTAGAAAGATGTACACATTTTCTTTTCATCTTAGTGAACAAAAATGATTTTTTTCATGTACCTCTGGGAAACAATATATATAATCTTTTATCCCCAGTAAAGAATTTAGCATACAGATATAATAATAAAACTTTTTAAAAAACAGTATCTATTTCCAAATATATTAACACATTAAGAGAATGGCTAAAATGTTTTCATGGTTACCTAGATAAAAAATGGTAGAGGGCTTCCCTGGTGGCGCAGTGGTTGAGAGTCCGCCTGCCGATGCAGGGGACACGGGTTCGTGTCCCGGTCCGGGAAGATCCCACATGCCGCGGAGCGGCTGGGCCCGTGAGCCATGGCCGCTGAGCCTGCGCGTCCGGAGCCTGTGCTCCGCGACGGGAGAGGCCACAGCAGTGAGAGGCCCACGTACCGCAAAAAAAAAAAAAAAAGGTAGAAAAAAGCATTCGCTAAATGGCTAAATCTTTAAATAGTAAAAGAAACAAAGCCCTTACCTTTTAAAAACCAAAAATGACTATCAACTGTTTTAATATACCACCAATTTTAGTGAAACGTGTGTTCTGTGAGACACAGTGCTCAGCATCTTAGCAGATTCAGAGTGAGCGCCACACAGACCAAAGCAACCAGGAATGCTGAGTTAGAGATTTCACAGTGGCCTGACTGGTTACAAGTCAAAACCACAACATCTACTAGTTCTCAGTGTTTACAGCCAGACATTCCTTTTGCTGTTTATCGCTTCGAAATTACTAGCAATAGATGTTTTGGTAGAGTCACCCCAAGGTCCTACGTCAGAAAATGAAAAACGTGAAACCTCATTAAAATTAAACAAGGCACATTGAGCAAAAGTCTCAAATCAAAATAGGAAGATTGCACTTATATTTCTCATATCCATAAAATGCACCAAAACACTTCTCCTTATAGCTACAAACTTGTCCAAGATATGCAGGTTATAGCATAACATTCTTTAAAACACTGGACAAAGTGCAAAAACTGCTTGAGCGAACGCATGTTAGAAATAACACGCATACTGGTTCTTGCAACGGCAGGGGGTCTGCATTGCTGAAACAGTATAGATTTCTATTTCTTTCGGTCCAACAGAACCACCCTCCTGCTGTTTGGTGTCTTCGACCATTGGACCGCTGCTGTGGCTAACAGGAAACTGTCCACTCCCACCTGTTACAAACTCTCTATCGACGTGCATGCTGTCAGCATCGTCTTCCGCCTCGCCATTCAGGAGCGGCATGGGGTCATCCGAGCTTTGAGCTGCACAGAAAACAAAGGCAATTTTAGGTTCCCTACACCGAAGCAGAGGACTTTAACACAGATGCTTCTCATTCCTTGTTGTCAGAGCACTGGAGGCTCCAAAACTGTCAGGTAACTCTACAATCTACGGATTATTAATGGACTTGGCACACTACCAAGAAACGTACTTTCCCCAACAGAAAACAATTCCTCAAATGTGCAGTTTCGATGAAAAGTCATGGCATTTCAGATACCTACTTGAGATTTACTTGTCGGCATAAATTTTCATTTAGGGCTGTTATTTGGACAACGTAAAGCAGTTATACAACTCAGAGACATTTCTAACTAGTTTTAAAGATTCAGGACACTCTACGTTATGCCCCCACATGTTCCTTCAGTTGTTTTTCATAAAGAAATGACAATTCTTGAACAACATAAAAACCATTAAAACGGTCCTCAAATTTTAAAAAAAGTTAACTTATTTCATTAACAGAAAATAAAGTAAAAGCCAAGATCAAGACAGGTTTGTCCAGTACCACCCGAGAGCAGCTCTGGCCCTCTGCACCAAGATGCAACGCAACTGGAAACACCCACTAAACGTCTGGGTTCCAAGACATTTGGAAAGGACGCTACGCACGCACCTTTCTTATGAGACTCCCACCCCCGCATCTTGGAGAACAGCTCATGTGCACACTTGGCCACTCCTCCAGGGGTCACATACCCTGTGCAGCAATACCGCCTGCAACCCCGGGGCAGCCTACTGCTCGGGAGCAGCCACTCTCACGCAGCGTATGGCTCACCAGTCTTAAGCAGCACGCATTTTTACAAAATTGGATCCAAAGAAAATCACGTTCATGCCTCGCCTTTATTCATCTACCATGGCATGAATGCATCCCACCAAGTAAATTCAAAAGGATCTTTCAAGTTGAATATAACCCACTGTATGTCTGGATTACGGTTCACCCACCACCCAGCTCCCCACTGCGGTGTGGGTGGCTCCTTTTCTTTCCTATCATGAATATACCATAACTAACATCCCTATAAATGCACCTTTGCATACACTTCTGGTTCTTTTCCAAGATAAACTAGAATGATTTCTGGGTCAGAGGGTATATACAACAAATAAGTAACAACTTTCAGTGTAATTTCTTTCAAATAAACATTTAAAAACAGAGAGACCTGAACTGTGCAGCTTCAATTACTTCTAATCTTGGACACACACGAGTCATTTTCAATATAGGAATGAGCGTTATCAGTTCCAGAGTATTCTCCAAACTGTTGAAACAGTTTTAAATGAAAAAAAGCCTTAATAAAAGAGAAACACAAATTCTCAATGATCAGTATATGGAAGAAACAGAGCCGTGTGATTTGCGCAGTTGAGAAAAAATCTGCACAGGTATGAAGCCAAAAGCACCCTACAGAAGGAGGTGATTTAAAGCCAGAGGCAACAAACTGAGGACTTCAGTCTTGTGAAGCTTTTCTTAATCCTCCACAGGCCCCAAGTCAGTGACAGTCTAGGCTCCATCTTCGCTATGAAACAAGGCACTTTCAAAAAGTCAGTGGTAAACAGGACGCCTTAGAAAATGGGGGTGGGGGTGGGGGGCTGGGAGAGGGATGTTCCAGGTACTGGTTGATGGAAGCCTCACAACCTTCGGTTCTCGGTCAGCCACCGCGGAGATGAGGGGCCTGCAGCAGCAAGGCCCACATTTGATGAGCCAGATCAGGCAGTTTACTGAGAACCAGTGCAGGTTACCGGGGCAAAGCCACAGACGTCCTCATACAGAAGGTCAGACTTCACTGGGGATACGGTGCAGATAGCTTTATGTAGCCATACTCTTAACGCCTGGTTTTGTTCTGGAATTCAGGGCCCGTGTTCATTGGGGAAAGTGACATCTAGGTTATAGCGGCAGTTTCAGATCTCTGAAAGGCAGGTTTTAAAAAGAAAGCTGACAGGTGAGACACGAGGACCTCCCCCCCCCCCCACCCCCCCCAACAGTGCAACAAGAAAACAGCTTCATGAAGGCAGGGAATGTGTCTCTTCACTCCCCAAGCCCAGTGCCTGGCAGTGTTCCATCGATGAATGATGCCCAGGCTCTAGCCAGAAAAGGCACACACACAGAAAGCAAGCAAAACTATTAAGAGTAACGAGAGTAGTCATCTCAGCTCAGACTAGCTATAAAATGAAAAAGGACAAGAAGGCAGACCTGCCACTAGGGGGCCAGACGAGCTGGTGGCAAAGGGAGGGATTTTCAAAACAAAAGCGGGTATAGAGGAGCGGGCACAATACCACCTTAAAGCAGAGACTGATCCCTTAACCAGAGGCCTACGCAGTGCACTAGGGACGCTATCCTTTTACACGTGTCTTTTGTTCATGCAGGTAGCTGCTCACCAATAGAGCGGGATAACAACGAAGCAGCCCAAAGCTTTCAGATTCTAGTAAAGAAAACTCTTGAACGTGGGAGGCATATGCTAATACAGACAGCCTAGAATTTAATTACCCTCTCCGTAGATATGTGATCTTTGCAAGGCGTTTTTCCCATACAGGCTCCATCTGCCGGGATGTGCAGCCACGTGGCTGCTAACCTAGATGCCTAGAACCCTGGGTGATGTATTTTATACCGACGCCTTCATGTCTTTATTTCTAGCACCTGGAAACGGGGAGGGCTGAAACAGCTCAACGGGAGCACTGAGGTTGTAATCATTTACCTTTTAAAACTGCACTATAAGCCATGAAATTAAAATTGGCCTTTCAGAATTTTGAAGGACACTGCATCTGGACTCGACTCCTTTCTCCACAGCCACGGAGCACGCCACCTGCGGCATTTTCTGCCAACACACCTATCGCCATTGCCAAAGGAACTACCGAAATATTCCAGGCCGCATCTGAGAAAAGTGGCTTGTAGACATTTCAGAAAAAGAATTTTCTTCCAAAAGTATCCATTTTGATTCTATTTGTTTTAGAAAAGAAGCACTTTCCCTTCCCATTTTCCTATTCCAGTTAAAACGAACATTTGTTAAAAGCGTCCTTATCTTTTACTTTGACTGCCAAAGCAGGTATTTGTTGACTAGACATGACTTCAGTACACGTTAGACGATGCGTATTTATGACAGAAAATCACCTAGGATTGGCTCAAAATAAACCCTCCCAGTTTTCTTCCCCCAGAGGTGGAGTCATGACCAGGTGTGACCACTGCCTAAGAAGCCCCTCATCCTTGACCTTGGTGCCAGTAAAGATGCTCCATTCGGGAAGGTGCCCAGGGCAACACAGAAACCCGCATCTGAATTTTCATCTAAGACTTGAAAAAAACTCCTAAAGCCAGATACCAGTGACACGATTCTAAAACTAAACAACTTCTGATCAAGGAGTTTTAAAAGAAGATAGGAAAAGCCTTCCTTAACTTTTAAAGACAGGGAGGGGTCTGCAGCATTACAGAAACTGTGCCATCAAGGAAGCTTATTTTCGTGCTGGCTAGGTCAACTTAGGAAGACGTGCCTTTACTGTACAAGCGGCACCCCACTCACCCCAAGATGCAGAACATGCACACAACAGGATTTTGACTGCCAGGCGCACTTACAATGCACATCTAGGGCTCGTGAGAAACGCCTCAGCAGACTTAACTTTTAAGGCAAGGAAATCTCTTACGAGGCAAAAACCAGTCTACACAGTCCTGTGCTTTAAGATGTGAACACTTAGTTAGGTAACAGGGCGCCACTACCTAGACACAACCCACACAGCTGACACCATGCGATGTGCGAACACTGTCAAGCACTTTCACTCAGCGTGTCAAGTGCAGCCTGGGGCCAGGGGACCGACTAGTGGTTCAGTCCTCTGTGCCTCTTGAGGGGGCCAGCGTGGGAAATCCTAGGTGCTGACCCACAACCAAGGTTACCTCACACCCCTCTGGCCTTCCCACTGAACTGGGAGCTCTGACCATCGGGGGACCCTGTTCTCCATGAAACGAACCGGGAAGGAAATGTTTCCTTAGTGGTTTCCCTGCATTACTCATTACAACTGTTCTCTTCTACTACACGGTACATTTTACCCAGATAACTACCTTCGCAAAGAAAGGTCCTCTTAAAATCACACCACCACATAAAGCCAGTAGGAAGGTGGTTCTACCACACGGTGACCTTTCGTGGGACTCCTGCCATGGCCCCAACTGCAGCAGACTGGGGGTGGGGAGATTCAAGAGGGCAGGTTAGTGAAGGTGCCCAGGACACGGAGAAGCAGTGACAGTTGTGGAAACACTAACGAGGGATCTGGGGTTCTGCTAAAAGAACACGGAAGGGAAGGTGCACGTGACACAGACCACCCGGAACAAAGCGTGCCAGGACCTGGCCCTGGCTGATTCCCGCTGCAGCTGCCACAGTGTGCAGAGGACGAGGTGCATGAGGTTTGCTGAGCTCAAGACTAAAACAGAAAATCACTTGGTTCTTAAGTGTCATTCATTCAGACTGTATTTATAAAATGCTGTGTCTTTGGGGACTGAGATAAAACAATCATTTGTTACTGCAATGCAATTAGGAATGTTCTCTGGTCAAGTTTTTAAAAGTAAATACAGCCATTTACTGCAAGTTTGAGAACACTAAAGATACACGAGAAGTTACTGAAGTCTTTAGTGTATGTCACATACATGGAACTACATTACCAATTTGATTTCTATCATCTGAAGTTTTAAGTCATTAGCTAACCTGTATCACTTAACAAGCTCGTTAAGCCACACCCATCCTCCTTTCTCGTCTTTTTAAGCCTGGTCAAAACGAACAATTCAGAGCAGAAAGTGGAGGGAGATTCTCTATCTTAAATTCATCCTGGGGGTCATCTGCTGAGCAACTTCCTACTGCTGACTTGAAGCTAAGTCATGCTCTATTTTTCCTAAACGGTGTTTTATATTAAATACCTAACACGTGACATATGAGATGCTAAGCTCAGTAATACATCTATTTGACTAAAACAAAACCGTGAAGTCAACTTAACACGTGAGGTCTGGTACCACCACAGCCTCCTACTGATGGCAACTGTTAACCCCAAATAAAACTGTAGGTTCCTGGGTCAGTCTGTAACTCACACTGCCTCTCCCCAGTGAACACTCTGGAGCTGCACCCCAACAATTATGGACTAAAAACAAGATGAAAAGTTTCTCTCATGGATGGGAGTGGCATTCTTCTCTATCCTGGATCACTGATAATTGGGACAAGTTTTCCAGGAATACACTTGTGAATAATTGCATTTACTCCTGAAGATTAACTAGAATGCTCACAGACCTAACACAAATTTTACTGAGCAGCTGCAGCTGAAGTCCCGAGGTCCACCTGTCATTCCATCCTGAGCAAATGGTTGGTAAACAGGGAGGAAAAGAAAACCCAACCAACCCAAAACCTAGTTATATACTGATACATCCTTGCACCATCCTAAATGAACAAAATCCATACCGGGGAAAATACTACCCCAAAGTACTTTTCATTTATATCAACCACCCACATAGCTTTGGATTTTTTATCACCTTCGAGAGGACGTAGCCACAACTATCACATCTGTGTTCTGACCAGAGTGCATTCTGATACTGGTGTGAATGACCGCATGAAAGGCATTTAAAGTATGAATGTCTGTAGTAAAACTTGCTTCCAAGGACAGTCTGTATTTGAGCAGAACAAATTATCACTGCATTACGTTCTCTTACATCAATAAGGTTTCCATGGGAAAAATTACCTTAAAATATCTGAAAACAGTTTATTGACAGAGATCCTACTCTCTATGGAGAGGAGTAGGTTAACCTTCACACTTGTGATTCCAAACTTAAAAAAGTTAAGAGTCAATTTTACAGGACACATACATCTTTAAGAGTTGGCTTAGCCAGAAAAATTTCTGGAAGTGATTGCTTTTGTGAATATATATTCCACACTAAAAACATCAATATGTGTAGTTATTAAATTCTAGTAAGACAGAATAGACTAAGTTTATTGATAAGGTCCACGCTATGCATTTATGTTGCCAAGATATTATTCCAGGCATCTATTTTTAAAACAGCAAACTTAAACTGCGCCCCCCCAAAAAGATTTAAAATTTCTCTAAATACTTTTACATGTGAAGTTATTCAAAGATGTATTTTATATGCATATGTTACACAAGGGGGTAAACACATATTTTTTTACTCTGGCATGAGAACTAAAAACTTATCTTCAAAATGAGTAATTCAGAATGAGCAAAACCTCAAGCTCACACATTTATATAGCAAATCAAAACAAGATGTCAGAAATTAAATGAAAATGAACTAAAGCAACATACAAAAAAAAAACCCACACACATACAAAAAAACCCCAGTCACAGAACGTAAATAACTATACAGCTATTGAAGCCAACTATTATTTCACTTAGAAAATTCAGGCAGTTGGGAAGAAAAACCTTGTTTTAGTAATTGAGCATTACTGCCCCAATACCCCATTCACAGTGAGTATGTTATGGTAAAAAGAAAAAAGAGAAACCTTCTCCCAGAGAAAAGAAAAAGGAGTGCAGGGGCAAGGGTGGGACGAAGGCCCCATCTGTTCTGCATGCGCATCCACACATATGCACAGTCCTGAGTGACGTGTGGGCTGAACCTCAGGGGCCAGTAGCCACGCGAGGGCCCGGAAACAGGAGCTGAGAAGTCAGGTGCACGTGCTGAGGGTGAGAAGACCCCCGCTCTCTCCACGTGCACTGGAGCAGCACTGAGGCTTAGGTGTGCGTAATCATCACCTGCAAACTCAAACGCCAGGCTGCAACCCCGTTTTCTTCTCAACTGGCATCCTCGACCTGAGCACTAAGGAATGGGCCCTTTGGGAAAGCTGCACTGTGAGTTTCATGTGCAAAACACCAATCTCTAACTCAGTCAGCCAAGACGAATCCCTGTCTAGAGGAGGAGAATAAAATCTCCCAAATACCTGCATGATTATTCAAGCCCTATTTGTGCACCCCCAGGGTCTAGAAAACAAGTTCTTAAGTTTTAGGAATCCTTGGAAAGGCTTGAAAGAGATACTTCAATAAGAAGATACTGGCCAATTCAACCGAACTTAAAACCTGATGAGACTAGTTTACAACTCTTTAGGTACATTTGAGTCTTCTTAGAATGTTAAATGACATCCTTTTTAAAAAACTAAACAGAATTTAAGAGTTATCCTACACACTAACATGATATGGACACCCGTCCAATTCTTTGCATGAGGTCGTAGAGGGAAGCTAACAATACCATCCCAAAATTATTAACCAGGCATTAAACAAAACAAGGAATACTTCTTGAAGTTTAGACATACCTTCAGGTTGTGCGTGTGACTTTTATACCTTTCTAAAAACGATTAGGCCCGTTAACTTACAAAAGCTATGAATCTGAGAAACTATTACTTTTAAGTTCATACATTCATTTCTATAGAAAAGTCACATAATCACAAGTTTTTATACTGACCAACATTTTAAAAGTTGTGAAGGAGATGATACAATTTTACTGACTCTGTAGGAGAAATGTTTTTGTTTGGATAGACTCCAGTTACACAAAAGAGGCACAGCACTGGGAAGAGGATAAAGCTGACACATTAAAGTCAACTGAGGTTGACTTTAGGTTTTGCTCAGACTATACATGTATAGTTGTTGTTTTTTTAAAGCCAAAGGGCACAACTTTGTAGTTATCTCCGGCAAAGTTATCTGAGTGCATAATTTCACCATGATTACTTTTCACCGTCATCTCTAAATTTCCCTTTCCATGTAAGTTTGCTAAATATTCCTGCCAAGCCAGTAATTCTTCTTAATTTTCCCCCCTAAATGAAAGGGAGATTTTTTTCCTCAACCGTAAAGAGTGACTAGCTGACTCTTATTTACAAACCCCGAAACCATCTAAAGATAAAAAGGTGGAAGAACACTTAAAACTAAAATAACTTACCTTAGAGACTTAAGTCCTCAACGTCAAAGTGGCACACCAGGCCTTGCTGTGACAAACACACACCACACTGTGTCCAATGCAAACATCTACCTTCCCAGATGTGAAATTGTATTTTACTATCAGACCAACAATTGTTGTAAGCCCAGGAAAATTCACAGGAAAAAAAAAATGAGGCACGGGGGCAGATTTTTTTTTTAATAGTTGTATTTCAAACAGGAACAACAAACGAGAAAAATCTAATTCGTGGCAGGTAAACCTGGGTGTGCAGAAAGTTATATACACACATTTACACTTCAGCTGTCAACACTGCCCTCTCATATCCTCCCCTTTCGTTAAATGGCCAATCTTCAAAGTGGCAACACAGGAAAAACTCCTCCATCACTGCACCAGAGTCCTCCGGGCACAGTACCCCTTACGTGAAGGAGTCATCTCGAAGGCGCTTTCAGCCATAAAAAAGAAAACATGTTAAAGAGAGGAAACAAGTTTGCTCTTTCCCACCCACGAAGTGGTCTCACCTGTGGTTCTAGCTTTCTTTACTCCAAAGGGTTCCGAATCTTCCAAGCATCTCTTGCGATTTGTTCCCACACTAATGTGATTAGGAAATACATTCGGATGGCCCCCATTGAAGGGGCCACCGTTATAGAAAGGATTCAGATGACAACTCTGGAGGTTCAAGAGAAACTGGGTACACTCTTGGAAACCCTGGGTTTGAGCAATGTCTGCTGCCGTCAGGCCACTGGCATTTCTCAGGCTGTACGACACAAAAACACTGAATTACATCCCATCACCATTTGCATCTGGTCTCTGTTCCTGCTGAACTGACTATCTATCTGCAGGCGATATGAAAGAGCATATACAGATTTACAGCAAGTCTGAATTAAAGAAGGAGTTACTCATCCTAGCTCTGTAACTAACTTCTCTCTTATGCACATTTGATTACGAAGCAAGATTTGGGAGATAGTAATTTAAAAATCAATATACTAAACTTTAAAAAAAAGGCATCTTCCTATTTAACTCCTCAAAATCATTTTTTATGTTAGTCTGAAGAATATAAATTTATGCTAACTTCAGACTTAACCTGAAACTGAATTCTATATTATCTGCACTTAATTTTAATAATCCATTCCTTTAGCTCGAGTAAAATCATAACAAACAAACATGTACTGAATTGTCCATGGCATTTATAACAATTGGCTTCCTAACAACAAAGGCAACTGGCTTAACGACAAGCCAGAATTTGTGCTAACATGTGACACTATAAGTGGAAGTTTAGAAGCATGTCCTGAGACTAATTTATCATCAGACTGGAGATCTGAAAAGCTGAGTTTTTTGTATTTTGTTTTCTGGCCTTAGGAAAACTTGCAGAAGTTCAGAGCATTTGAGTGGGTGTTTCCTTCTAATACTGTCCTAGGAACTCATCCCCCTAGGCTGAGTCCTACCATCAAAAAGAATCAACATCATCCTGCGTGGCTAATAACATTAACAAGTAACGGTCTGATGTCCTCTGCATTAGCTAAGAGTCAGACTAAATCAGAAGTGGTGGCAGAATATAAATGAAAGCTCTAAATAAGATGAATACGAAAGAACCAGTTGAAATTGTAAATCTTAATTAGGAAACAATAAAAACTGAGGGAACAAAAGCAACTCCACGTTGAAGTTCCCCTGGAAGACAAGAAAATACACTGCTCTGTGAAATAAATCTGTAAAAAGCAAGACAGGTTGTTAGCTGCACACTGATCCACTGAAACTGGAGAAGCACTGAAGGGCCGAGGCAGTACCACACCTCCCGGCGAGCTCTGCCACAGACAGTGCAGCTGTGACCAAACACAGGCCTCGTCTTGTTCCCGAAAGAACAGGGCACAACCCTGGATGCTTTTTCCCTAGATTAACGTGAATGAAAAAAAAGCCATTTCAGGGAGAAAACTACAGAATCAGGGACAAATAAGGATTTTCCATTTTAAACATAACAATAAGCCCTGTATTCCTATTTCCAGCCATCATACGCAGAAGGTTCCAAGCTCAGAAATGAAAAAGCTATATACTTTTGGACAATCACTAAATATGTTCCCACTTTTAAAAGCATGAGATAAAGAAATGTATCATACATTTTGAAGAAAGGCAAAAGCCCAAACTCAATCTGATCAAATATAAAAGAGACAAAACTTGAAAATCCCCAAAACCAACAATATTTTCTTAAAAATATAAGGCAGCTGTGTGCATGGCTACTGAGAACTAAAACTGACATTTTTATTTGATTTCATGGCTATGACTTCTGATAAACATTATTCTAAAATTTCACAATATTTTGATATATGAATTAAATAGAGAGGAAATATCAAAGTTTGGGTAGAGTGAGTTACATTAGTTATGTGTATAGAAAATGATCACATACTTGATTTTTAATATCAACATGTTATAGAAATTTAACATTCAAGCAAGTGTAACACTGGATAATTTTTTTAAATGGTGTATTTACATTTTCAGAAGATATCATGAGTGAATGGTCCAAAAAGGTCTACTCTATCAAGAATGTGAACAGAATAAGTAGCTGCAATAAAATTAAAAAAAAAAATTAACTCTACACAATTTGAAAAGACGAAGACCCAGAACATAAGCAAAGTTTAAAAAATGATCATTTCTATAGATAAATATGAACTTGCTCTCCAAAAATTAAAGAATACAGAAATGAGAAGCTGCTGCTTAAAATCAGGACAAATAACGCTGACAGTAAAGATTACTCCTCAGTGGATGATAAAATAAAGAACAGCACACAGATTTTTTAAATGGTATTTACCGCCCTAAATGCCAGTTCACTGAAGAAAGCTGAGATGCTCAGGGAGCATGCCAACTTTTCTAAGTCACTGAAAACAAGAACATCCAAACTACACTCAATTCCTTTACTCTTAATTCAGAAACTGAACAGTAGACTGAATCTGAGTTAGAACAGCAAGTTTACTGTTCTTGCAAGGAAATACAGCCTTAAAGAGAAAGAGCGAGTGCGCACCAATATCCGGAGACCACAGAGGCTGTAAGTGTCTGAGTGGGAGCGCCTGCCTGCACCTGAGAACACAGGCAGCGTCTCCTGCCCGTCTCCAACTACCACGAGTGGTCCCAACACTTGCACATCACTCGGCTTGGACGAAGCCAATCAGATTTCCAGGTGGTGTGAAGTATTATCTTCAAAACTCGAAAGAACAGCCACTAGAGTCAACTCATGCTATGTACTCCTCATGTGTGGACCCAGCCAGTAAGAAAAATCACAAGCCGAACTGAACTTCAACTGGTTCCTCGTATAACTCTGAGGGATCCAAAGAGAGATCCAAAGGGGAGTTCAAAACATTCCAGAAAATGTATGGACAGATATCAGAATCTGGGACGTAAGGTAACTGGAAAAATTAACTGGGAGATTATAATTTTGGCACTATCCCTACAGTAGTATTATTAGAAACAGGAACATACAGTATCCCTTCTCCACTTCTGGTGGAACTACAGAAGTTTTCAACTATATTATTTCTCAGTTACTAAGGACTGAATGTAACATTCAGTTTAACAGTGTTTACGTTCCTCTAAAGCAGAAAGGTCCGTTAATACCTGACCCTGGAACAGGCCAGCAGAACCGCCCACTTCCCTCTCCTACCTCCGAATGTTTTCCTTCCCATCTCCTTCCCTACGTACCCCCACTCATTCCTCCTTTCTTTACCCGTAGTTTAACACGCTAATTCTGCTCTGCTCATATTTAAAACCTTGCAAGTGGCTCTGCAATCGTATGGTGCACAAAAACTGGGTGGAAAGGAATGACTGGGATCACCAATCCGGGGCAGGCACTTTTTCTGTAAAGGGCTGGACAGCAAAAACTTTAAGCTCTACGGGCCACAGTCTCCATTCTCTCGTTGTAGCCTGAAAGCAGCCTTAGATGATGTGTGAACACAGCATTGGCTATGTTCTAATAAACCTTTAGTTACTGGCACTGAAATTCGAATTTCATATATTTTAACGTGTCATGAAATATTATCCTTTTGATTTTTGTTCAATCCTTTAAAAACATAAAAATCATTCTTAGTTTATGGGCCATACAAAAACAAACAATGCGCTGGACCAATTGAGTAACATTTAATCAATAGATGAGACTGGTAAACTAGTCCTCTACTCTTTTTAAAAAAATTTTATTTTATAGAAGTATGTTGATTTACAGTGTTAATTTCTGCTGTACAGCAAAGTGATTCAGTTATACACATATATACACACACACACACACACACACACTCTTTTCCATAGTCTTTTCCATTATGTTTCATCACAGGACGTTGAAGACAGTTCCCTGTGCTCTACGGTAGGACCTTGTCGTTTATCCATTCTGTACACAACAGTTTCAACTGCTAACCCCAAGCTCCCAATCCTTCTCTCCCCTGTTCCCCCTCGCCCTTGGCAACCACAAGTCTGATCTCTATGTCTGTGAGTCTGTTCCTGTTTCGTAAAAGTTCATTTGTGTCATATTTTAGATTCCACGTATAAGTGATATCACATGGTATTTGTCTTTCTCTTTCTGACTAGTCCCCTACTCTAAATAACAGATGCCTATGGGTTCCTGAAAACTGTCTCCCTGGTAATTTTCTGCACTATTCAATTCAAACAAAAAAATAACTTTTTAGAAGTTGCCAAATCTGTTAAATCACAAAATGTTAAATATCAAGAGAATATCTAAAGGTAAACTTCAGAAGAATGTAAAATAAAAGACCTTAAGAGAGCATGCAGAAGAAATAATCATTCCTACTCCACCTGAGTGTTCTCTGTTAAAAGTTCTAAGTGTCTTACGACTGAATTAGGCGACGTGCTTAATATGAATGAGGCGGAAACTGTCTTTACAGGTCTGAATTCCTCAAGTCACTTCTTAATAAGCAGAAGGGGTTTTCAAACGTATTACACAGAGGCTGAAAATCACGTGGGTTTCTAGGTGAAGAGCAGCATAAAGAATAAGAATTATAGTTCTTAAAACACTTTAACAAAAGAGGCTCAGGCCTTTAAATGCACTTTTACATATATGCTCTCCTATTTGTTAAGCATGTTTCAATTTTAACGTTTTAGGAGCTGAAACAGTTCTCCTGGTTAGAACGTATCATCAATGTATTAACCCTTCAGCTCTATTTAGTGTTACACGTTTAAGCGGATATTCACCCTAAGCAACCCTCCACGATTTCCCTAAAATCCAATGGGAGCTGGGCACATGAATGTGATTTAGGATTTTACAGGTTCTGTGATAATTTCACATTTGAATTTGGTCTTTTCTTCTGTTACAGTACTTTTTCAACAGTCAAGCCTTCACTCTTCGATCCCGAGGTATCACTGCAGGTGTGACATGGCCACACTGCGCTCACTGCTGACTACTCCTACCAACCCGAAGTGAGGGGCTGCTAAAGACAAAGTTAATCTGAACTGTGGTCTTCACACACTAGTCCAAATGGAAATTTTCAGTATCTGGAAGATACTGTTCAAAATTACTCTCAAAAACTGTATTTTGCATGAGAATTGGGGCACTAATGAAAGTGTACACAATATTTTTAGACTAAGTCTTTAAAAAACACACATGAATTTCGTGACTTTGGTTTACTGCACTCGGGCAGATGACGCCTCATGTAAAATGTACCTCTGTCCATTTCTGACAGCAAGAAGCCCCATGGGGGACGTGCTGTGAGGCTGTTCTAAAGCTCCAGTTCACCTTTCTGGCCCCCTCTGGTATCCGTTTGAAAAATCTTT